CGTGAAATTTAAAATTTATAGCAAATAAAAAAAAATTGTATCCGTTTCAACCAATTTTTTTTTTTCAAAACATAGTAAAAAAAATAAATTTCAACACAGACAGCTATAATTGTTGCATGGTCATAGATGCCCGCAACAAGCAGCTTTTTTTTTTTTAAGTTTGCAAATTATTATTATTATTATTATTATTTTATTTTTATTTTTTATTTTTAAGGGTCGATTGTCAAGGGCCGAAATAGCCCATGACACGGGCTGGCTCGAACTCAAGACGACGCCCAAAAATGGGGCTCAACCCTAGCCTCGGCTTGGTCCTAACGGGTCACGAATCAGCCTAGCTCGGGCTTTTCCCAGACAGAGCCACGGGCTATCCGAGTCAGCGAGCTGTATTGTCATCCCTAATGCCATCAACTTAGTCGTGGAAAGAGAAAAAACGTAAAGATAGGAAGGCACTTTTCACAATTTCATCTTTCAAATAACATTTTCCAGGACGTTTTAAAGGAAAAAACAACAACTACGTTGTTGAATTCTGATCAATTGTGTAATAATAATCATCGTCGCCACCACTATCTCCATCACAGCCGCTACCACAACTACTATCTCCTGTATCTTCACCTCAACCACTCCGACAACCTCCAACCCCACTAAAAAATCCCCAAACCGCCACCGCCACCACCACCACCAGAACCACCAGAGCAACCACAATGCCGCACCCCGACCACCACCAACTCACCACCACTGCTAACATCATTACCGTCGCTAACATCACCAACCGCCAAAATCAGCACCACCACAGCCACCACCAACAACCGCAAACACAAAAAAAAAAAAAAAAAAAAAAAAANTAAATGATTTATGGTTTGAATGGGGTAGATGGGGTAGAGAGTGCATACATAAATTAGAAATATAATATTATTATTAATATTAAAATATCGATTTATATTATTTGAATTAATATATGATTTTTGTATAAATAAATTTTATATCTGATTTTTGAAATTGAATTTTTAAATTTCTAATTTTGTGTAATTTCCTCTTTTGAAAATGTTGTATAATTAGGAGCTAGGATTAGGACGGATATGATTAGGGAGGGAGGATTGGACTAGTGGAGATTATATGAGGGTGAATTGTTCAAATATAGCATTTGGTATTGCATCCATAGTATTAGAAAGAAGTACAATTATTATTATTTTTTAAAAATAAAATCTTTTTCAATATTTTTTATTTATAAATATATATATTTTTTCTTATGCATTAGTGTACTTATAAGTAATCTCTTGTATGTATTAATGATTTTCTACTTATAATTAATTTTATAACTTATAGCGAATTTTCACTCTTGTGTAATTTTTCCACTTATTAGTAAAATTTTTACTATATGCAATTTTTAACTTACAATTAATCTTTTTAACTTAAATGAATTTTTTAGTTATAAATGAGATTTTTTTACTTATGAGAGAGTTTATACACACTCACAAGTCATCTTTTACTCATAATTGGATTTTTTTTTAGTTCTTTCTTAAGTATCTTTCAATTCAACTATTTATTCTTTTAAAAAAGGGTGGTTATTAATGCAGTCTAAGCAGTGCAGCTTCTATGACTTTTGGGGCCTGAGGCAAATTTCATAAATTAGGCCTCAAAATTGTAGTATGAATCCAAAATCGATAAGTGTATTATGGATTCAATATTTAATTTGTTAATTTAAATACTTAACAATAAAACAACAAATAAAATGTATTATACAAAATAATTATATTATAATCAAATCACAAAGACGACAATATTCCAAACGTTTTATCGACCAAATAAATAAGGAAGAATGAAAGAAGCTTGTTGGGCCTGAGACGCGGACCTCACTCGCCTCTATGCAAAACAGACCTTGAGTCTAAGCCCCTGTTTGAGGCAAATTATTTAGACAAAAGAATGAAATTTTTTACCGTTAACCATCACATCCAGCTGAATTTGTTGACTTTTCATCTCTTGTGTGGGGCCCAATTGTGTGTTCAACGGCTAGAAATTTCATTTTAATAAACACCCCAATGAGGACAAACACCCCAATTTAATTTTATTCAGGTATTAATTGTTTGCACCTAATATTGGATAAAGATTTAATATAGTTAAATTAAAATAAAATATCGACAAATGATTGTTAAATAAATTAATAACCTTGCTTAAATAATAAAATTTTTTGATCCCGACTCGAGCCGGTATACATACGAAAATAATTTTATTTAAAATCCTTTAGATCCAACGAAAATATAAAATAATAATTTGTTAAATAAGTAAAATTTTATGACATGTACTAACGAATTCTTTTCCCGGCAACTTCTATTTTTTCATTTTTTTGAAAATATGAATCTAATGTTATTTGCCTTTTCTTTGTACAAAAATCGAACTCAACCACTTTACCTTTCTTTCTTTTTTTCATTTTTTTTTTTGGCAATGCCTATACTGCAGTTAGTATAAATGTTTTTTTCGATTTTGTAAAATGCTTGAAATGCTTCTTTTGAATAAACGAATTGTAAAACACATTAATCTTCTGAATCATTTTTAGTTGGCTATTTAGTATCCTTGGAATAACCTCTTCGTTAATAGATTTTTCCATCATTATATCGTATTCGGACAATTCAACCACTACATTTTATAGAATTGATTAGAAATACAATCACGCAGATATATTAATAAATTATTCATTTATTACTAAATTAATAACCATTCTCAAATAATAATTCTTCTCAGCCTCAGCATTATTATTTTATAGAGATTTTAATGTAGTCCTTACACGGTATGGCGCTAAATTAACTTTGTTTAGGTATTACTGATATGCAACTAAAGTCGGATAAAAATTTAATAAAATTAAATTAGTCTTTATCCTCTTTTAAGACGTAGCGCTGAACACTCTAAATACGTAACTGAGAAGAGGGAATGAGGGGGAGACACATAGGAGCCTCGAATTAATTTTATTTCGGCATTAATATATGCAACTAACCTCATATAAGAATTTAATAGAATTAAATTAGGTCTTACCCGATTTAATAAGTAGAGTCAACTACGTCCCAAATCAATTAATAATTTTTCTCGATCTCAATATTATTATTTTTTAGAGATTTTAATATAGTCCTCATCCAATTTAATACATACTCCCAAATTAATTTTATTTGGGCAATAATGGTATGCAACTAATGCCGAGTTAGAATTTAATAGAATTAAATTAGTCCTTATCTGATTTAATAAGAAGCGGCAAACACGCCCTGAATAGGTAAGTATAAAGAGTGACTTGAGGAGGGAAACTGAGAATGTCCAGAGTGAACTATAATATCCATTCAAAAATACATGAAGGCTGAACCATAATTCTAAGCTCATAGCCATGGTGTCGGACCAAGAAATAGCGGAAGGCTTAGAGACACTGCTCCATCAGTCGAACCCTGGCTCTCTCACCTCCTTAAACGGCATCGTACAGCAGCTGGAAGCAAAGCTAGGGTTAGACCTGTCCCATAAAGCTGGTTTCATCAGGGACCATATCACTTTCCTCCACCGCTCACACCATCTTCCCAAAGACCATTTTGCCCCTCAACCCCATCCTCAATTCCCTAATATTCCTCATCCCCGACAGGTTCTTCATCCCCATGTTGTCCTTCAGCAGCAGCCGCACCTATCCCACCACCAGCACAATCCTTATCCGCCGCCCCTGCCGCTGCAGCCGCAGGTGAAACACAGTCAGCTGCAGCCGCTGCCTAAAGGCGGAGATGATGCCCCGAATTCATCAGCAAATGCTTCTGAAATGCCAAAACCAAGGTGTTTTCTTGATACATTTTAGTGCTATGAATTTGAAGTTTATTGGAATATTACGATTTGGGTGAGGGTTTAGCTTTATTTTTGGATGTTTGGGTCAATTTCGTGTGTGGGTATTAACAGAATCGTCGATTTTTGTTGTAAATAGGGCTTCATAGGTTTTTTTTTTAAAGGGTAATCTTTTAGTTTTATTATTGATCGATTTCTTTCCTACCAAAGTGATATTGTCAAAGTAAATTTGAGGTTCGCTCTTCCTTTGCTAGTTGTGCTTGCAGCTTTGCTTTACCGCCTTTATAGCAAAATCAAGCCAAGCCTTATTCTAAATTATATTTGTTAACATATAATTTTCCTATTGAAGAAATGATATCTGCATTAATTTATGAAGGGTGTTTATTCTTAATTTTCAAACCTTAAATTTGCTTATATGGGACCTGTCTGAGAACGAACCTCCTTATTCACTTGAGTAGAACAAGATATGTGGAGACATGGTCAGCGCTTGATTTGCCTCTTTTACCTTTTTATTTCAGCACTCTGACTGGAACCAAAAGACGAGGTGGTCCCGGGGGCCTGAACAAAGCGTGTGGTGTGTCACCTGAACTACAGACCATTGTTGGTGGGCCAGCAATATCAAGGACGGAGGTTTGGGTCGACAGATCTAGCTGTTGTTAATTTAAAGACTATTTCTAATATTTCTTTATCCTGTAATACTCCATTTACATGGAAAGCTAAACAGATGCTATTTTCTGATCCAGATTGTAAAACAGCTATGGGCATACATTAGGAAACACAACCTTCAGGATCCAGGTAACAAAAGAAATATAATCTGTGATGATGCCTTGAGATTGGTTTTCGAAACGGACTGCACTGATATGTTCAACATGAATAAGCTGCTTGCGAAGCACATTTTTTCACTCGATCCAATGAGTAAGTAAAATGACCATGGGTGCAAATATATGGTGTTTCTTAATCCTATGTCTTAACAGTTATGGTCGAAATATTTGCAGAAGAATCAGGTCAAGCTAAGAAGCTGAAGGTTGAAAAAGAGTCTCCAAAGGAAAATACTGTAACGGGTTACTTTAATGTGGTATTATCAAACAAACTTGTGAACTTTTTAGGAACCGGAGAAAGAGAAATGCTCCTATCGGAGGCATTAAGACGTGTGTGGGACTATATAAAGGTTAACCAGCTGGAGGTGAGTAATGCTAGTCAAGTTAAGAGTACATTTTCTGAGAGTGACGATATGTGTTCATTTCTTCAAGTCCCATTTGATTCTTCCAAGGAGTATTTTGCAGATACTAATTTCAACTGTTTGGGAAAAGTTTAGGTTCTTCACTTAGGAAAATAAATAACATATTGAGAGAGTTTTTTTTCCTCTGAACTTTGTCTCATATATGGTACTCAAAGGGAGTGATTTGGGGGGATTTTTCTTTACATCTTCTATTTTATCTGTTCCTTGTATTGAGATGACAAGTGGTGACACTTGATTTTGGTACGATAGTCATCAAACTTACTGGCCGTTATGACACATTGTTTCCCTTGTGACACTTGATTTTGGTGCGATAGTCGTTTAACCTACTAGCCGTCATGACTTGTTTCCTGTACCTGACATACTTTTGAGTCTGAATATTATACATCTTGATCTATTTGCTTGTCTACTTATAGGATCCTCTGGATTCGTCTGTGATTCATTGTGATGCAAAGCTTCAGGATGTTTTAGGACGTGAAAGAATTTCTTCTTCAGAAATGCAGGAGATTCTTTCATGCCAGCATTTATTTAAGAAATGATGTGTAATTCTAGTAAATGGTAAAGTAATAATATGCCATTTGGACGGGCTGATGCATAAAAAGTTTTGGTCTGATGCGATGAATCTTCTTGTTCTACTTTCTGCAGGTATTCGGAGGTTTAAAGCTAGCTAACTGTTTTTGATGACATGAAAGGTAGAGAATGAAGAAGTGAATTTATTTGTTTTTGATGAAGAGAGTAGTTGGATGCTATGCTCGTTGAAAATCTAGACCAGAATGAATATGTTTCCTAGGAGTTTTGGCAAGAATCTTTTGTAGTTGTGCTGTAGCATGATGTCGGTTACAGCCCTTTTGCAGAATTCCTGACATCATTATAATGGATAGAAGTAATGTGAAATAAAACAGTTGAAATTGACAGCATCATGGAATATTATTTTCTAGTCAATTTTTATTTAAATTAAAACACGAATACATTTAATATATGAATTAACTTAATGTTCTGTTAGTGTTATTTTATTATTATTAGAACAACAATTTTATAATGTTTTAAGTTATTTAATGTGCTAATGGGATACTAATTTGTTAGTCAAATATTATATAATTGTCTTTAAAATAATTATAACACAATAAAATTAGGGTTCAATATTTAAATAAGTGTAACAATTTGGTATATTAGATGACCAAGTTTTGGAAAACATTTACTTTTGATTAATTGAAATTGTATTATGATTCTCAAATTATAGTTACTTACAAATATATTTCAGCTTTCAAAAAATAAAAAAAATAAAAATAAATATATATATATACACACACACACCAAAACGCGTAGGCGATGGGGTAGAACTTGAAAATCAAACTTTTGAAGAAAATATTAATTTATTAAAGAAATTTTTAAGTTACAAAATTTCAATACAAATAATTGTAAAGAAAATTACAAAAAATATTTCTAAATTTCTTGAAGATGTTTTTTCTCTGGCTAAAAAACTATTCCTAAGAACTTGAGTCTTGATCTTTATTTATACTCGAAGTTCGGATTTGAAATCTTTGTGAATTGAATTGAAAAATCTTGAATAGTCTTGAAGGACAATAATATCTGTCACATGTCAACTGTTTGACATTTTCTTTTTGAAATAATGCGTCAACTTTTATAAGGTGACTTTAATAAAGTTAATTAAAATGGAATCTCATTTATTAAATCTTTTGTCATTATTTGTATTTGTCTTGAATGATGACAATGCTAGCAGAAACAACTTTTGAGGTGGAAGGCATAACTGAAAAAGTGTATTTCTTGAAGTATGAACCTCGTGTTGTCGGTACTCGTCCAAATAACTGGGTTCATATAGTCATTTTGAAGTTTTTTGAGTTTCTTGGGCAATCAACTCATTAATATATATCCCATAGCAACCATCTTCATTAATCTGGACATACTCTGTTTGTGAGTTTGATTGAGGAGAGCTTTGGTTTGATCTTTATTTTTTAGAGGAAGTTTCGGCCACCTAAGCAATTTTCTCTTGTAGTTTTTTTGGAGTTTTTGCACTAATTGAACATGGCTAAAAGCCTTGACTTTTTGGCATTCTTTTCTAATTCTTTCTTTGAAAATTTTAGTGTGCCGATGTTTTTTTATCCATGAATTAATAGCCTTAGGATAGCAATTTGTTTAATTGAATTTTGACCACCATTTGACTTTGAATCTCCGAATTATAAATTTAGTATTGAATTCAGATTCTGATCTTTGAACAAGATTGAAATCCCAGTAGAATATTCATGGTATTTTGAGATTGAAGACAAATTGGAACAAAAAAATCTCAAGACTTTAAAAATTGTTTTTGCCTCTAATTTGAAGTGTTCTAATCCTTTATGAGTAAGACTATATACAATTTTCTCATCAATTTCAAAATATTCGAACCGTGTTTAAAATCATTTTGGAAAACTTAAAGGACAAACTTGGTTGAAAAGTATAAACCAAAAGTAAGTCACTGGTCTACAGTAAAAAACATGAAACCAAGTATCTTTGTAGTCAAGATTATTGAAATGAGATTCGAATGTATCATTCTTAGATAATCGCATTCATTTCTTTTCTCATTGGTTTGGTCCCCAATCTTCATAAGACAAAACCTTTTGGATATTAATTTTTGAAAATTCAATTTGGTTTGAATTTTGAGGATTGAATATGGGTTATGATAGCCAATCCAGATTTAATATTATGGCTTCATAAAAGATTCTTGATTTTTTGATATGTCTAGATAGGGGTAGGCGTGGGTTGGGTCGGGTCGGTTTTTCACTCAACCCAACCCAATCAAGTTCGATTTGGTATAAAATTAATCCAACCTAACCCAATTACGTATTTAAATCCAACCCAATCAAGTTCGGTCGGGTTGGGTTGGATTGGTCGGTTTAACAAGCTATTCAAGGTCCATCCACTTAACACAATATTGACCGCTTATTCCCTACCGTAACCTCAAAAATTATGTGAAGAAGAGCTGCTAAAACTGACTATTAGACACAGAAACAGAACAAGACCAGTAATAAATGGTGCTCTTATATCTGAGGAAAACAAGAACGAGACAGCCAATAGTTTACTAATAATGAAATAAAAAACAAAGTAAATCACATAATAATGCTAATAAATTAAAGATTGAACAAAATGGAGGAAGAAGAAAATAGTGGTATTCACAATACACGTGCAAAGATAGAGTAGTCCATAATTAAGAAAAAGATGTCAAAGAAGTACCTACTGGTAGATGGACTAAGATCATTCAGGTCAAGCAAAATATCCCAAAGTAGCATAACAATAGAGAGCAAGACTGGACCCTTCAGATAAACAATTGCTGCTGTTGTTGGTATTAATGCATCACCAGCTACTAAATAAGAAAACTTGATTAAGAAAATCCCCAAGAATAATTTAATGATAAATAATGTATAGAAATCAAATATTTAAATGATATCAAAACATACACGCACTAAAAGTATAGCAAAAAGAAAACACACGACTAGACCAAGACTTGTTCATCGAAAATATGTTTCGAATAAAAACTACCGTAAGTGTACGGATCGTTCAAGTAATAAAATGGATTTTAGAGTCCAAGTATCGTTCCCA